AGGCACTAACTCAGGAAGTGGGGAGAAGGAATAAGCAGACAACAGGCAGGTGTAGAAACTGAACACCAGGACCCCTTCCTGGGAGCCAGGCTCTCAGGGGCCAGCCCCAGCAGGGAGGACAGGCCTGCATAGAAACCCGCTCAGCCTCGCTCCAGCTCAGTTCAGAGCCAGGGGCTGCTCCCTGCCCTTCCCCCACTCCACCCAGCCCCAAACCTCAGAGCCACCCACCCGGCCTCTGGACAGGGGCCTGGAAACTGAGCACTGCAGACTCATCAGATTTTCCAGGCTGCGTGTGCGTGCATGTGCGTGTGTGCGTGTGTGTGTGTACATGCACGCATGTGTTCTTTCAAAGGGGAGCGGGGCGGGGGGGGGGGCGGGTGCAGAGAGCAACTGGGGAAGCTGATACAAAAGAACAAGGTCCCCGTCTGGCCAAGAGGTCGGGGAAACATCCTCCCCTGCTCCCCTCCCCCATCCCACCTCACCTGGGGCACCTCACTCTGCTCTTTCTAGCAGAGTCTCAGTCAGCAGCAGCACAGGGGAGAAGTGGGGTGGAAACATCCTAATTCAGAATCTAGTTGAAGAGCTGTGGCAAGACATGGTTGTAGGTAAGGGGGGCGGATCTCAAACCCTGCCTGAGAGGCCCCACAAAAGAGGAGCCTGCTGGGGACAGCATAGACTCCGTAGCTAGACTCTGTGGACAGTCCAGGAGGAGGCACCTGGCCATAGAAGGCACATCTGCCAGGCCCCCTGCCAGCCTTGCTGATGGAAGGGGGGCCTCCAGAAAGGGGGTAGAGAGGATCTGACCGATAAGATGCAGCCTCCCCAGCCCAACCCTCTCCATTCAGCAAAAAAGTACCACAAGTGCTGTGTCTCCTGCCCAGCAACCACTCCCACAGACAAACCCACATCCTCTCCCTAGAGAACCCCCGGGGTCCTCCTGAGGTCTCAAAGCACCTTACTGATTCCTTCTGGAAAGAGCCAGCCGGGAGGCAGAGGAGGGCAAGAGACAGGTCCAGGCATCCTGATTCCCAAATGTGAGCCAGCCCAGTCTCTCCCCGCGGCTGCCCCACATGGCTCCCTTCCGGTCCTCCCCCTCCGCTCCCACGGCCTGCAGCTAGGCCTTGGGCACCCCCACACCAGGGGAAGCTAATCACCAGGCAGGAGAGGGGTAGGATGGATCCGGACAGCCAAGTCTCCCACTCTTCCTCCCATGCCCTGGGGAAGGTCACCAGGGAGGGGCAGACCTAGATTCCCCTGACCAGGCTGTGGGAAGGCAGCAAGGGGCTGGAGGCAGCGGATTGGTGAGGGTGTGCATGGGTGCGCCGGCAGCATGGGCACGTGTGAGGAAGGACACGCTGTGTGCAGGCGTGTGTGCATGAGCCATGAGGGTGCACATACCTATCTGGATGAATGTGCATGTGTGGGCATCTGCGTGTACATGGGGGTGTCCAAGCACATTGTGGAGGGGGAGAGGGACAGGAAGGTCCCTGGAAGAAAGGACCATGTTGTACAATATATGTCCATCTCACCAGCTCTGGCCTTGGGAGAGAGGGAGGGACTCTCTTCTGTCCTAGAGTGCCTCCTACAAGGGACCTGAGTTCCAGCAAGTGGGCAAAGAATGGGGCTCTTTCCTGCATCTCAGGCAGGCCGGCCTTGGCTCCCCAGGTGCTGAGCTGGCCGGAATCACTGGTCCTTTGGGGGCGTGGGGTATGGGAAAGTCCCCTTCACCAACAGGTCCCCAAAATGTGTCAGGGAAAGTGGGTCAGGCGGGGGATGAGCTTCCGGATGGCCATCACAGAGGCAGGGCCCCGGGACAGGCCCGGTGGGTCTCCCTCTTCCTTCAGACTTCACACCAGCGGGCCCAGATCACTGCCACACCGCCTAACAGCGACAGTCTGCCCCACTCGCCCAGGGTCTCTCCTGCAGTGCCTCCCTGCTTCTCCTGGGATGAGGCCTCCCAGCTCCTAGCTCACTGCACCTCTGTCTCCCCCACACAGCCAGGGGCAAGCAGGAGCCTGTAACACTGGGGCAGAAGCAGGCCTAGGCCGGCCCAGGATTTGGGGGCGGTGTGGGGGAGGACCTATGATCCTAGGGCTTGAGAGAGGAATGAAGAGGGCTAGGGAGGGGAGCAAGACATGTGGAGTGTGCAGGAGCCCAGAGTCCTGGCCCCCAGCAGCAGGCCCCGGACCCAAGATCCTCCCCTTGGGAATTTTACAGGATGACAGGCTTTGACTCTGGAGCTTGCAGCAGCTCGGCCTGCTCCCCAGGTGCTGCCAGGGAGCAAGAACCTCTGGGAATTCCAGACACAGCTGCCCCTCCAAGGGGCTTCTGACACTGGGGACAGCAAGTGGTGACTGGCAGCCCTGGGATTGGGGAATGGCGAGATGAGGGGGGCATGTGCCCAGGCAGCTCTGTCCCTGCAGACTAGCTGGAGAAAGGGAGCAGTCAGGAGGAAGAGGGTCTGGGAGAGAGGGGACATGGATCCTCCCTCCAGAACATACTCCCCCGGCCCCCTCCCCTGACCGGCTTCTCCAGCTGACAGCTCCTGAGCCCTTCAGAGGCCCAGCCCCATTTGATGGATCAGAGAGGTGCCAGGATCCTCCACCTGGGAAGGGAGGAGCCTGATGTGGAGACTGAGCCTCAGGGAGATTCAGTAACTCACACAGGGTCACACAGCTAGTGGGCCACAGTTTAGATTCATTGCACGTGGGTCTTTTTGGCTTTTAACTGTTGCTGTGCTTTTTTTGGAGTCAAGGGCGGCCAGAACCTAAATCCCAACTCTGGAAGGCAAATCAGCTACTGGAAAGATGAAGGCTCGAGAGCTGTCTGGGGCTGTTCCACCCCAGGAATTAGGAAGGTTCTCGGGGCGGAGGAGTCACTTCCAGGGAACCCTGGGCCTTCCCCCATTCCAGCAGCCTGGCCAGTCTGGGGAGGAGCTGCTGCAGGGCATCTTGTCCTGTCCGAGGCTCGTGGGTGGTGCGCTCACCCCTCCTGAGCTCTAGCCCCACACCCCCATGGATGTCCAGGCATTTCTAAGCAGAAGGGAGAGAGGGGGCAGGAGGAAAGGAGTGACTATATCCCCCCAACCCCAAACACACCCAAAGGGAACTGAGAGATGCTCAGGGTCTTGCCTAATGCCATTGCCTCCACCCCCACCCCCAACTACCTCTCCCATCTCCTGGCCCCCAGCTTCCTTGCTCTTCACCCAAGAGCTCAGCTTCCCGCTCCTCAAACTGCTGCTGGGCCCAGCCTTGGGAGGTTAGAGGGTGTGCTCACGGCCCACCATGGGGCTCAGACCCTGGAAACCTAGTAGAAACCTGGAGGCACTGGTGGACCGGTGGGGGGAGGGCTTTGCCTGCTTCCTCCTCCCCACCCCTGTGGTATCCTAGCTTCCTGTTCTTGATAACAATCAACAGCTTGGCCCCACGGGGGTGGCTCTCTTTCTGATCCCCTCCTGCCCCCTTCTTTGATCCCGAGGGCCCCACGATCCATTTGTGGAGATACTGGTGGGTTTGGGGGAGCCGTTGAGGCAGAAGCCAGCCTCAGGTCACTTCCCACTGATTTACCAGGGATTCCCAGACTATCCTGCACCCGCCTCCAGCCTGTTCTGGGTACCAGGGCTGACTACTACTCCAGCCCCTCCTTTCAGGGAAACCACCCACTCCCCAGAGTGAAGAAGGGTCCAGGACCAGCTGGCCCAGGAGGGGCTCAGAAAGGACCCGGCGCCTGGTCCCCCCCTCAACTTCCAGAAGCAACAACAGGCACTGGGAGGCCTCCCGAGCTCCAAAGGGTCATCCTGGCCTTCGTCCCACCCCTCCTCCCCCCACGGGCCAGCACCCTCCCCACCATCCCGCCTGTGTGCGCACCCCCTGTGTCTATTGTAAATCATTTCTTTTTTGCTGTCACCATTTGACAGCTGAATCAGAGAAGTGGGAGGAAGAGAGAGGATGGGGATTGCGCGTGTTGGGGCCGGGAAGGGAAGGGTGTTTGGAATGTTACAAGGTAGAAGAAGCTGTGCCGCGAGCATGAACCGGCCGGGCTGCTGGCCAGCAAGGGGCCTGCCGAGGCGAGGCAGGGGTGGGGGGCAGTGGAGTCTTGGACGCGGGGGCCACTTTCTAGGCCCCAGGCATCCAGGCACCCCAGAAGCGAAGAAGACGCAGGAGTCCCCCCGGTGTGAGGGCCAGAGACTGTCCGCTATCTCTAAGTCTTCTAAATAGATGTCAGGATTCTGGGAGGAAGCCTGGAGGGGCTGGGGGCAGGGAGAAAGCGCCCCAGACTCTCCTACAAGCTGTCTCTACTATCTACTTCCTGGCTGGCGGGTCCATCTCCAACCACAGGTAGCTGAGAGCTGGGGTGTGGCTCAAGTTCTGGGGATGACTCTTCTGGTCCGACCTGGGACTTTCTTCCCCATCGTGGAGCAAGGATTCCTGCCTCCTTCTTCCCTCACCCCACCCCAAGTCTGCACCCACCTCTGCTTTGAGAAGGTGCAACCTGGACCTGACCATGAACTCGCAAGGCTTGAGGGGGCAAGGGCTTCCAGGACCAGGGCTTTGAGGCAGAAGCAGAGGAGCAGAAGTCAGTCTCTGGACAGGGCCAGCTTGAGCAGGAACACCCTGGGGTTTCTGTGTGGGACAGCGTGGAGCTGGGGGTCCGCTGAGCTCTGCCTGGTAAGCGCACAGAGACGGGATGTGACAAACGCCCAGAGGACAAGAGTCCAGGGAGCAAGGGGGTTGGGGAGCTAGGGGAGCCAGGGTGGTCAGGAACAGGCCGGCCCCTCCCTCTCCATCCCACAGAGCAGGGCCTTAGGCCCATGGCAAAAGTGCTGGGCCACAGCCAGGCCACCCCCAGAGGGGCACAGGCAAGAGGCACCCGACCCCTGGTGGTGGCAGCAGGCGCAGGAGGGCAGCACGCCGCCGGGGTGTGCGTGGGTGGCAGCAAGGAGGGGCAGAGGGAGGAAGCTGGCTTCCTGAAGCCTCCTCAGCCCTCAAAGAGAGACCAACAGACAGACAGACAGCTGGTAAGAGGCAGCCTGGGGGACACAGCTGCTTCAGTAAGTACCTGAACAGGGGGGGAGGAGGGGCCCTGGGTCCTGGGGGGGTGTGAGCCCTGGGGAGGCAGGAGGGCATCTCCAAAGCGGTTGTGAGTGAGGCTGCACTAGGAGCTGCAGGGCCGGGCTGGGGAATGGGCACTGGCCTAGCTGGTGTCCCCAAGGGACCCGGGCCAGGCGAGCCGCAGGGGGGCTGCAAGGACAGCAAAGGCCAACCACCCCCTTCCTGCTTCGTGAGAGCTTCTCTCTACCACCCACATCTGCACGGGGCCCACTCTGTCCCCTCACCTCCGTGCCTCCCTGCGGGCTTAGCGACTCTCACACCGCCCCCACCCCTCGGAAGCTGTGAACTGGCTCTGGAAGATAGGGACTGTCCCCCAAGAGGACACGGGCCCCACCACCTCAGTGCCCCCTCTTCTGCCCCCAGCTGTCGCCTCACCATGCGCTGCTGCTTAAGGGTTTGGTGAGGCCATTTCCTGTGACGGTTACAGAGGCGGGAGATGGGGGGATGGGCAGAGGAGGAAGGAAACACCCCCCCCCCAGCCTACCTCCCTGGACAGAGACCCCAGAAGCCAGAATGAACTTGGCACTGCCAGCAGTTAGGACAGGGTCTACAAGGGTCCCCAACTGGCTCCAATGTTGCGCGAGGCCTCAACCCTCTCATTTCAGAGAAGGCCTGGACTAGAGGTGGTTTCTGTGAGCTTTCTCTCTCCCTTCTACACAGAACACGTCGTTTGTTTCCTCCCTTGCCTTCTCGCACCTGGGCCCCAGCTGAGAGCCCTCTCTGCTCTGGCCTCAGGCAGCCGCTTCTCCCCTCTCTCCCTCCCTCTGGAGTCTTTCCTGCCACCCCCCCACCCAATCTCTATGCCTTGTCTCTATGCCCCTACCCCAACCCCACACTGCCTACCACCCTGGGTCCCCTTGTAGGGATCCCGGCCTTCCCGCAGTGACAATGACAGCTCTGCTCGGAGAGCAGAAGACACCCCAGTGAAAACAGAGATGCTGGAAAGCGGGCGGCTGGCCTGGGCTTGGGGGCCTTCTCCTGGCCAGTCGGACAGGCCAGAGGTCAGCTGCTGAGGGGCCCTGTCTTTCAGGCGAACCTCATGGCTGAGTGAGCCTCCCCTGGGCCCTGCACCCCACCCCAGCATGGTCCAGGACCGTGGGGGGTGCTCCAGAGCACAGCTGCCGACCTGGTCTTTGGGGGCAGCCATGACCCAGCCTCCACCCACCAAGGCACCGGCCAAGAAGCATGTGCGGCTGCAGGAGAGGTGAGATCTTTCCTGGGAGAGGGGGGCCTTCCCAGCCCTGAGACCCTGCCCTGTTCCCTCCATCTGCCCCCTCCAGCTCTGACAGCTGGGTCCAGAGGGTCCTCAGCTGTTGACTCCAATCTGGAAAGGAAAATCCCAATGTGTTCATTTGCATGGTATTTGCATGGCATTTGCATGGCTGGGGTATAAAGTTTCACGTCAACTTTGTGCCTGCTCCCCGAACCCTAAGTTGGGCTGAGCAGCCCCTGGAGCAGGACTGTCTTGGGTCCGGATGTAGGTCTGAGCTTTAGGGGCCTGGAAGGAATGGGTAGAGGTGGGCAGCTGGAGGAATCAAGGCTGCCCTGATCTGACTGACAAAAAAAAGGCCATATAGCAGGGGCCTGAACCCTTGAATCTCCCGGGCCTCTGGGTCCAGGGGAAGACAAGGAGCAGCCTCCTCACACGTACCCTGTAACAGTAAGAATGGCTAGAGCAGCTCACGCTCCTGGGCGCTCACTGGGCGCTGGTTGTCCGCGCCTGCAGGCGGGGCTCCAATGTTGCTTTGATGCTGGATGTGCGGTCCCTGGGGGCTGTGGAACCCATTTGCTCCGTGAACACACCCCGGGAGGTCACCCTACACTTTCTGCGCACAGCTGGACACCCCATCACCCGCTGGGCCCTGCAGCACCAGCCACCCAGCCCCAAGCAGCTGGAAGAGGAATTCTTGGTAAGAACTTGGGGTCCCCTCCGAGTCACTCTGCCCCTTCTGAATCACAGACAGCCAGATAGCACCATATTATGTTGGGCACTGTGGGTACGTCTCTTCTTTGGGCCCTCAGGATCGACGAGAACCCCAGTGCCAGAAGAGAACATCACCCCCTGCTCCCCTTTCTGCCCTCCACCCCATCCAGACCTACTAAAGCCAGGAGGGAACAGCCAGGACCAGCTCCACTAGATGGGGGGGGGGGGGGGGGGGAAGGGGGGAAAAAGGCTGGGAAGAAGTATCGGCTATTCACTCACTTCCTTCCTCTGCCAGAAGATCCCCTCGAACTTTGTCAACCCCGAAGACCTGGATATTCCTGGCCACGCCTCCAAGGACCGATATAAGACCATCTTGCCAAGTAAGAACCGTGGCAGGCATCAAGGGAGGTGGTGCTGTCCCTGGGGCTGGACAGGTTCAGAAGGCAAGACACACAGCCTCAGCCAGGGAAGAGCTCCCTTACCCAGGGCACCTGCTTTCAGCAGAGAAATACCAACACCTTGCCCTGGCTGGGGGAAGGAGGAGCGAGAACCATAACCACAGTAAGAACACGGCAACTCGCATTTGCAGAAGCTTACTGTGGGCCAGGCAGTGCTGGGAGCCCCTGATGTTAACTCATTTCTCAAAATGACCCCATGAAGTTGACGCAATGCTATCATTACTCCCGTTTTACAAATGAGGCAGTGGAGTCACAGAAAGGTTGCCTAACTTGCCCAAGATCACAGCTTCTTTGTGCCCTTCCTCCGCTGTGGGAAATGCCCAGCAGAGGTCTGTAGCAGGAAAGGCACCATCAGGATGGCTCCCAGAGGGAGGGCTTTGAGCAGCTCAGATGCAGGGCACCTGCAAGAGAGCAGGGACAGTTTTGGAGATGGGAGTTCAGGGGCTGTAAGGGGTTGACCCCTCAAGCTCAGGGGACCCAGGGATCAGCACCTCCCACCTTTCAGAGGCAAGCGTGAGACCCTCACAGATTCTCTCCCTCTCCCCACTCAGAGCAGCCTTGTCTGGCCAACCCACCTCCAGCAATTCCCAGTCTTGAGGCCTTAGCTCACCACCAGCTCCTGTGGTTCCAGCCCTCTGCCCGCAGGGGTGGGTCAGCACTCAGCATCGAAGTGAGGGGGAGGGAGCAGCCCTTGTTCTCGGCTGAAGTCTAACCAGCTGGCAGCCACGAGAGAGAGAGAGAGAGAGAGAGAGAGAGAGAGAGAGATCCCTCTGCCTGCAATCCCCCTCTGTCCAGAACCAGGCCAGGACCAGGAGAGCGAGTCTCCTTTCCTCACAGGCTAGGTTCTCTGTCCCTGCTTGGATTGGATTTGGAGAAAGCCTTCCCCCTTCGAGGGACAGGCTGACACACCCAGTAGAGGAATGAAGCCAGAGTTCTGGTCCTGCTTCCCCATGGTGGGATTTTAGGCAAGTCACTCATCCAAATCCCGTATTCACATATTCACCGTCAGAAACACTCTTTCTCCATGACATCTCTTTTTCTATTCCCATTGGTACAATCCTGCTCCACACCCTTACCAATCTCAAGGCTAGAATATCATCTCACTCACGGCCCATTAGGCCCCTGCGGCTCCACTCCCCTTCCTCAATAGTCTGTCCTACATGGCACCACCCAGTTAACCTTCCCCAGTATTCCTTTGATAGTGTCACTCCACTGCTCTGAAACATTCTGTGGCTCCCCATTGTCCACATATAAAATAATTTAGTGGGTCTCTGGCCACCTGCTATACCAGAGACACTGTGATACGCACAGGAACTCACCTCTTCCTGACCTTGTTGGCATGTGCATTAGTTGGTCCCCTTTTGACCTTTGACCTCTGCTGATTTTTACGTCCTAGATCCCCAGAGCCGCGTCTGTCTAGGCCGGGCACAGAGCCAAGAAGACGGAGACTACATCAACGCCAACTACATCCGAGTGAGTGGCCTGTCTGAGGCTGCGCTGCAGGGAATGGGGGTGCAGGGGCAGGGGGGCTGTCTTTGAAGACATCTGTCCCCAGAGAACGTCTTCCAGCTGTGAATTCCCGCTCCAAATCACAGCTGCCAAGCTGGGGCAGACACTGAAGAGGCCCCGAGCCACCAACCGAGAAAACAGAGCAGATGTTAAGCTGAGAAGATACCAGCCAGTCTCCTTCATGCACGCTATCACTTCATCCCTGCCCACCTTCTACACAGGGAGGAAATTGCATTGTTGAACCCACTGCCGCATATCCCCCGGGGGCTCATCCCTCTTAGCTCTGCTTGGAAGGTGCTCGCACAAATAGGAGCTCTTAGCTGTCTCCCTTTTCTCTCTCCCTAGGCTTAAGTGCCCCCTAAAGCAGCCCCTCCTTGGTGGAAATAGTTTAACATCAAACTATAGGAGCCAGGGAGGCAAGGTGGCCTCTCTACCCCAGCTTCCCACCTCTACTGGCCCTAAGTAGATGTAAAAGCAGCGCCTCCTAGTGGCTCAAAGTGGGTAGGACAGCGGTCCCAGGTGTCAAGAGGTGGAAAGCTGTTAGCCAAGGCCGGGAGAGGAAAGATCTCTTTGCCGCATCTGTTTGCCGCAGAAACTTGGTGAACGGTGGTGAACGGTGGTCTGTCTGCATTTCCTCACCTTGAGGAGCTGAGATTCTAAAGGGGAGAGGAAGGGGTCAGCAAGAGTGTGCTACATCTTGCTACTAAATATATACAAGTAATACATAAAAGTGAAACATTCACTCCAACAATGTTGAACGCTGTTTTCTTATTTTGTGCTAGTAGAAAGCAGCAGGGGAGGAAGGGGACACACATGGACAAAGTATTTGGTATGTGCTAGCCTCTCCGTATGCTTTGTGGAATGTAATCTGTATTATATTCCTGCAAGTTAGATATTATGCCCAATTTACAGATGACAAAGTTGAGGCTTACAGAGGCTAGGTAACCTACTTATGGTGGCATAGCCAGTAAGCAGCAGAACAGGAATTTGAACCCACGTGTTCCTCCCCCAGAACCTCTGTCCTCTCCACCATGTGGCTTCCAGTGTGCACACGTGTGTGTCTCTGTGTGCACGTTCAGTGGCTTTGGCCTGATCCCAGGACCTGCAGAGTCCGGGACTCCCCCAGAGAGCTAACTCACTGCTTCCTACCCTTCTTTTTGTGCATCTACCTCCCCAGGGCTACGATGGGCAGCAGAAGGTCTACATTGCGACCCAGGGTCCCATGCCCAACACTGTGTCGGACTTCTGGGAGATGGTGTGGCAGGAAGAAGTGTCACTCATTGTCATGCTCACTCAGCTCCGAGAGGGCAAGGAGGTAGGAGCCACAGTCCTTAGCGAACCCAGAAAGGGCTACATCTTATCCCACCAAACATGCCCCTACTCAGGGCAGCTCAGGACTAAGGGGCTCCCCTGGGAGTTGACAATACCTATAGCCAGGCCCAGCTTGCACTTCTAGAAAAGTTTCTGAGCTATATGCCATGGGGGCTATCCACAGCTAGAATGGGGGACAGGGTGCGCACTTCACCTGCACGTGCCAAGCTCAGGAGAGCCCGCCCCAGGTGCCAAGCCACCAACCGAGAAAACAGAGCAGATGTGAAGCACAGTGCGCAGCCCCTCCAGCAGCGTGGTGGGAAATTGGGAGGGGACCCCACTCCCCTTTCTGCTGTGCTGGCCCCTGCTCCGGCTGATAGACACTTCCCCCTTCTGACTCCCAGCTCCCTCCCTCCTAGAAATGTGTCCACTACTGGCCCACAGAAGAGGAAACCTACGGACCCTTCCGGCTCCGCATCCAAGACACAAAAGAGTGTCCAGAGTACACTGTGCGGCAGCTCACCATCCAGGTACAGGGAGCTCAGACCACCTCCAGCATCTCTGAAACTCAGGCCCAATCTTCACTGGGAGCCAGGGGTTGACTCATCTAAACCTTCTTGAACACACATCTAAAAGAAGAGCTTGAGGCACAGAAGAAAGAGAAACATGGGTACTGCCCTGGTTTAATAGGGCAGAGCCAACAAACCAAGCAGGAGCCGCCGGGAAGGCCTGTCCCTCTGTGCTGAATGGGCCAGGAAAGGAGAGGTGGGGTCCCGGAGTCATGCTGAAGGAGCCCCGGACGTCCAGAGAGATGTATGATAACACATGTGAAGTGCTTTAAAATGCCTTCTATTATCATATAGCATTTGATTTAGCATTTGATTTATAGCAAGCATTTCTCTATCAACTCCTTATCCTCCAAGCATCCAGAGAAGCAAACCAATAAGATATCACTGTCTCCTCTTTCTAAGTGAAGAGAATGAGGTTAAGGGACTTTGCCCAAAGTCATGTGCTAGTAAGAGGCAGAGCCAGAGCCAGGACTTGAACTTGGGTCTTTCTCCCCTCCTTGGACGGCATTCCTGCCAGCATTTCAGAGGAGGGAATTGTGGAGTCTGATGAGCAGGAGAAGGGAGAGCTGACCTTGCCTGCTCGGGGTCCCAGACCATGTCATGGAGTCATTCTAGCCCTTGACCTCCTCTGGCCCCAGAGAAGGCTGGCACTGCCCCCTCCCCGACCCTGGTTCTCATGCCTTGTCCCTCTGCCAGCACCAGAAGGAGTGCCGGGGAGTGAAGCATGTCCTCTTCTCCGCCTGGCCTGACCACCAGACCCCAGAATCGGCTGGGCCCCTGCTGCGCCTGGTGGCCGAGGTGGAGGAGAGCCCAGAGACAGCTGCCAACACTGGGCCCATCGTGGTCCACTGCAGGTATGCGCCCTGCCCTCCCTGGCAGCCTTGACGCAGGCCCCTCTTCCCTTGCCACTGGGTCTCTCCTTGGAAAGGGTCCAGGAAGGACAGCATCAGGCAGGCCCAATTCTTCCCAGGATGGGAATCCCTAGGTCACTCAGCAAAGTGCCCTGCGCTTATTCTCTCCTTCATGCAGAACCTGGCCGTGTGGGCCGGACATTCAGGCACAAGCCGGAGAGGGGAAAGACTATCAGAAAGCATCCCAGTCTGCCGGGGCGGGAGGTAAACATGGTCCCTGCTGTTGAGAAACTCGGTTACTCAACAAATGCTTATTGAAAACCTGTTATTGTCAGGCAGAGTGATAGATGCTAAGGAGACAGCTTGGCTTCTGCCCTGACAGGTTCGCAGTATGACGAGGGCTATGACGGCAGTGTCTGGGGGCACAGAACCAAGTCGCTCATCTCAGAATTTGGCCAGAGACAGTTTTCCAGGAGAAAGGACATTTAAACCAAGTGACAACCTGAGAGGTGAATTAGCCAAGTGAAGAGTGGAAAGGGGAAGCATTCCAGACAGATAGAATAGTGTGGGCAAAGGCCCCTCGATGACATTTTTATTTTAAAGATTTTATTTATTTATTTGATAGAGAATGAGAGAGAGTGAGCACAAGCAGGGGGAGAGGCAGGCAGAGGGAGAAGCAGGCTCCCCGCTGAGCCCGATGTGGGATTCGATCCTAGGACCCTGGGATCATGACCTGAGCTGAAGGCAGACGCTTCGCCGACTGAGCCACCCAGGTGCCCCCAGATGACATTTTTAAATGGACACATTGTGGGGAGTAGACTTAGAGGATGGGGATGGGGGCCTGGAGGTCAAGTGGGGGAGGGGAGGAGAGTGATAAGAGATAAGTCTGGAAGGCCCGAGGCCTCATAGTACTAAGAAACTTGGATTTAGCCAAAGGAATACTTGGGCTACAGAACAAGAATCTGATTGCAATGGAGTCCCGGGTAACACAGGGGACAAGCTTACAACAAGGAAACCATTTGGGAGTGCATACCCTAAAAAGAACATAGTGGCAAAAGTATGGACAGAGGTGGGACGCCTGGGTGGCTCAGTCGTTAAGCGTCTGCATTGGGCTCAGGTCATGATCCCGGGGTCCTGGGATTGAGCCCTGCATCGGGCTCCCTGCTCAGCGGGGAGGCTGCTTCTCCCTCTGCCACTCTCTCTCTACCCCTCTCTCTGACAAATAAATAAAATCTTCTTTTAAAAAAAAAAAAAGTACAGACAGAGGGGATTCATGAGCCCCCTCCCCGAAGGTGGCGCCTGGACATTAAGTGCTGAGAAGTCCTGAGTGGCTTCTATCAAGAGTTCGGACGAGTCTTCCTAAAGAGGGGGGCTGAGAAGGTTTTGACATAGAGAGCAAGACAGAGCAGAGTGGAGGGCCAGCTGTGGGAAGACTCAAGGTGGGAAAAGGGGGCTGAGTGTCTGCAGCTGTGGTGATGGAGGAGGTCACAGGGGCTCCGCAAGCCCGGTAAGCACTGATAGCTGGAAACCATTTCCTGCTGCTAAAGCAGAAGACAGCTCCTCGAAATGTCCACGGGGCCTGGAGGGGGACCTGGGAAAGGTTTACAGCGAGGCTAGTAGGAAATGTAACCTCCTCAGCGCCAGCTCTAACCTGCGAGGGTACTGCGGCCTTCCTCCATCCTCATGTCCCCACCCCTAAAACAGAGTGCCCTACGACTTTCTCTGCAGTTTGAGGCCTGGCCCCCATGTTCCCGGGTCACCTGTCTCCCATGTTCCCCACTCGCCTGGCCCCCATATTCCCCAGTCTCCTGTGACCTCCCTGTCCCCTCCCTGGCTGTGTCCAGTGCAGGGATTGGCCGGACTGGCTGCTTCATCGCCACCCGAATTGGCTGTCAACAGCTGAAGGCCCGCGGGGAAGTGGACATTCTGGGCATTGTGTGCCAACTGAGGCTGGACAGGTGGGTCTACGGATGTGGACGGGACCAACACCATTGAGGAGTAGCCTCCGTGCTTCCTGAGCTCCAGAGCACTTACAGGCACATCACCATCAAGCACCTCCCTCGAGAAAGGAAGGGGCCCTCTGCCTAAAGAGCTGTTTCTTTTGCACCTAACACCCAGGAAAGAATCTCTATCTAGAATTTTAGTTTGGGGGCCGAGAATGAAATATGCCACCCTGTAGATATCTGAGCCTTACATGTTTTTTGGTTTTGTTTTTTCCAAATTCCCTACTCAGGGAAAGGTGGAGGAATAGGGGATGGTTGGTTCTAAACACTAGGTAGACACAGATAATGCACAGAAGCCCACTGGATCTGGAGAGAGGGACCCAGGGTGCAAATTCTGCCTTGTATCTCACTGAGCTATCATGATAGTTCTCTGGGCCCCCATGTCTTTATCCAGAAATAATGGCTCCTTCCCCCAGACAGCTGTTGTAAGGAATGAGTTAACTCACTGTGAATGTGTTTTTCGAATATAAGAACCTACTATACACACATATAGAATTATTATATTTACATTAAGATGGGGAGGAGGAAACTTTGAGGCTCAGGAATATTCCTGGTCCGGCCTGAGGGATCAGGGGCCTGGTTCTGCCCCAGGAGCTGATGGGTTGGAGAAGAACAAGTTTCAGTGTGGGCTGTCTCCTTCTCGGCACAGCCAGCCACGGGACCCAGCCCTGAGTATGGGGCCGAGAGGCTGTCCTTGTGGGGAAGGTGTGAGGGGCAGCAAACAGGAGTAAGAAGCCCAGAGGAGGAACATATGAAGTAGCTGACGGGTTCTTTGGGAGAATCTCCCCGGTGAACTATGAAGATGTTTGGCCTGACCCCTCTGCTCGCGGTCTGCATGCTTCCCTCACAGGGGCGGAATGATCCAGACCACGGAGCAGTACCAGTTCCTGCATCACACACTGGCCCTGTATGCGGCCCAGCTGCCAGAGGAGCCCTGTCCCTGAGCCCTGGCGCCCTCCACCAGCCCCGGGTGCCAAAGTCCCCCAGGCCTGGGCAGGTGAGTCTGGGAAAGTGGGCCTTGTGATCTGAGAGACCCCTTGGATGGGCCTGGAGAAGGGGTGCCCCTCAGGGGGCACATGCAGTCACCGGAAGCTGCATCAGCAAGGACTGGGACCAGACTCCAGGTCTTTACCACTGGCCATTCTTCTGCTTCCTCTAGTAGCCCCAAACGGACACTTGGGGGACCTCCCGTGTCTCTCTGACCTTCGAGCTAGGAGCCGGCATTTAAGACAGAGCTGAGAAAGGAGCCCCGGAGTCCTGTCTTACCCAAAGTGCTCTGTGAGCTTCATCTCTCCATCTAGGACAGGGACATTAGGTGCTTTGCTGCCATAGGGAAAAGTCATCAGAGAAGTTCCTAGAAGCCTCTCCAGCTGTATCTCCTTCCTGGGGCTGGCAAGACAGTGATCCCAAGATCTTCTGCCTGGGGCCTGCCCCAAAACAGGCCAGATGCCAGAGCTGGGAAAAATCTGGTCCTGACCACGGCCAAGTTCTCAACACCCCAGCAGTGGCTCTGCTTCCTGACCCCACATCCGTGAGGGCCGGATACCCCGCCGAAGAGAACAGGGACCCAGACTACCCCTGTGCCCACACGTGAGTCCCGGGATCAGGCTACAGAGGTGACCAGGCCAAGCATTTGAAACCTCTGGAAGAGGGAAAGTATGGGGACCCCTCAGCAGTCCAGAGGGCTACCCCTACCTCTGTAATTGCCAGCCACTCACCCCAGCTACTCCCTAGGGAGGCCCAGCATCCTCTGTCTTCTCCTTCCATGACCTCGGAAGATCCCTGGGTAGCAGGAGATACAAAAGAACAAGGAGCGAGGGAAAAACAAAGAGCTTGGCCTGGTTTTAGGAAACCAGCCCCCCGGCCCCCACCCCCTGCATTTGCAGGAGGCACCTGGAGAGCCTGGCTACTTCCATGAACAATTGGGTGAACGCATTCCATGCAGACCTGGGGCCTCAGACTAAATTGGGGTCCCTCATAGTCTATCCCAGAGAACAAACTCCCTCCATCATCTCAGTATCAACACAATTTCCAGGGCACCCAAGATCTATCTCAGGGCTCACCTACACACCTCCAAGAAGACATCTAAATCCTTCGTCCTTGAAACCAAGATGGGCTGCCTGTGGCGATGAAGGAAGGCATCATCTCTCCAGGCACCCAGCCCCTGGGGTCTGCTTTGGCTGATGCCAGTTCTCTGCGGAATCCCCCAAGGAGCTGGGTCCTGGAGAACAGCTGAGCCTCCTCATTCATGACATCTCTTCGGAAGAACCCACAATGTTGAAACCTGAGTGAATTTTCTTAATGCTTCTGCTTGGTCTCACAATGGAATTCCTCCTTCCTTACAGCCCTGGGAGTGGGCTCACCTGCAGCAGCACCTTGCCTAACCCCTGTGGGAGGCACTCACAGCTTGTGACCGTGAAGCTGGGCAAAGAGTTCTCAAGCGCCTGATCCTGCCCTAAGCTCACACCCAGCTGGGAGGAAAGCAACTGCATGAGCATGGGCCCAGAGGCTCCCCTCCCTGGCACTGTCGCCCCAACCCTGTTCTAGAACTTAGAAAGTATAAGCTCTGGAAAAGGAACCAAGTGGGAGAATAAAGGCTTTTTGGATGACATTCCTTCTTTCCTTCTTTTTCTCAGGCCTCCGGAGCCTCTTTATAGCAATAGAGTAAGAATCCATAGGCCAGGAATAGGCTGCAGATCCTTATCCCAGGATATGCACATTTCTAGCTCTTCTTGAGACATCAAAGTGACACTGGGGGAGTCAGTTTAGGAAATGGGGCAGAGGTGTACCCTAGGAGCTAGATAGGGACCTATTAAGGGGCAGAAGCTAGAAAGATGATACTTTGTGATCCCTCCACTTTGGCCACTGTCTGATCATTTGGGGTCATCTTGGGTATGTTTGAGGGATATGGCTTAGGTCGACAGTTGATGCACTTTTAACTAGAACAAGAGACTACATGTGAGTACGTTTGAAAACCAAATACTGGGGTGCCTGGGTGGCTCAGTCGGCTAAGCGTCTGCCTTCCACTGGGGTCATGATCTCAGGGTCCTGGGATCAAGCCCCGCGTGGGGGGGCTCCCTGCTGAGCAGGGAGTCTGCTTCTCCTTCTCCCTGTGCCCCTCCCTCCCATTCATGCTCTCTTTTTCAAATAGATAAAATCTTAGGAAGGAAGGAAGGAAGGAAGGAAGGAAGGAAGGAAGGAAAGAAGGAAGGAAGGAAAAAAGAAAGAAAGAAAGCCAAATACTAAGGAGCACCCATCCTAGGTCGGGGCCTGCCCTGAAGCCTGGGACCATTGGGGAACAGCCAGCCCTGGGGTTCCGCAGGCCCTGTGGCAACATCCTCTGAGGCAGGCGGCATCTTGGCCTGCCCTACACCTCCCGCAGACAGTTCTCCTCCTGAAGAAAACTTTGGCTTTCACCAAAACAGGCCAACTTTTTCATCCACCACACATCTTCCTCACTGGAAACCGCCCCCACCCCCAAGCAGGATTTTATCTGTGAATTATGGGGATACTAGGGAAAATCAGCATCAGCCTCAAACAGCTATTTCACTTAGGGCCAGTGGCTTCCTAAACAAGCAGTTCGGGTAAACTGTGGTTAACAAAACAAGATGGAGTATTAACACACCCAAACCCGGTTGTTACTCTCCACTGGTTAGGATTTGAGAGGATAAGACTCAGTCCCCAGAGATATTCAGAGGCAAGGACTCAGGGAACAAAAAGCCTCCATTGGCCGACCTTTCATAGAGATTTCATCTCCGGGTCCTGGCAAGTGGGTGAACCATCCTCCTCCACCCTGCTTAACGGGGACCTCACCCACCTCGGGCCCACCACCCTTTAGGAAGGAACGGGGTGCCAGCCAGGGCGCGGCAGCCCGGGAAAATAGATTAGACCTCTTTCCCCGAGTGCCCCCGGACGCCAGCAGGCGCAGGCCGTACCCCGGAGGCGCGAGGGCTCCCCGCGCAGCCCACCCGCCGGCCGGGCTCGGGGCGAGGGAGGGGCGCGCGCTCGGGTGCGAGCCGGACACCGCCGGGCAGCGGCGGCGCGGGAGGGCGGCGGCGGCGGCGGCGGCGGCGGCGGCGGAGGAGGAGGAGGAGGAGGGCGCTGAAGCCACACCCATCGGCGAGCGGATCCGGGGGCAGCGAGTCGTCGGCCGCTGCGCTCGAGCCTCCGCCCGCACCGAGCCGCGGGACCCGGGCCGCACCGGGGAGGGGCCGCTCCGGGCCGCAGCGCGAGGGCAGCGAGGGGCGGCGGGCAGCCGGCGCCGGGCGGGGCCGGCGGCAGCGACCATGATCGCTTTGTTCAACAAGCTGCTGGACTGGTTCAAGGCCCTGTTCTGGAAGGAGGAGATGGAGCTCACGCTGGTCGGGCTGCAGTACTCCGGCAAGACCACCTTCGTCAACGTGATCGCGGTACGGGGGCGCGGGGCGCGGGCCCGGGGCGCCGGCCGAGGGTCGGGCCTGTCTCGGCCCGCGCCGCGCCCTGGTGAGCCGGGGTCGCCGCCTGGCATGGCCGGGCACCGCCGGGCGGGGGAGGAGCGGCCCCGGGCGCTTGGGGCCTAGCACGGCCCGCGGGGGACCCGGGTGGCGCGCGACCCGCTCTCCCGTCCGCGCCGGGATGGCACGGCTGGGGAGGGGGGCGGGGAAGGGGGACGAGGACACGGGCTGGGGCCCTGGGACTGGCGGCCCCCGGGGGTCACGAGGCAGGAGGGAACCGCCGCCTGCAGAGACAGGTCCCCTCCGGTCCCCGCGCATGGGGGCATGACGGGGCGAAAGTGCCCGGGCCTTCCCGCCCCGCGTGCGGAGGGTCGCGGGACCGGGCGGCTGGAGCGGCTTGGGGAGGGGGGGCTTTGGCGAGCTCAGCCCCACCCGGAGGCTTTAACCCCTCTCTGCCGGAAGAGGAAGCCCCGCGCTATTGAGGGGGAGGGGACGTACCCCCTGGGGGTAGTGGAATCAGCTGAGGCCCTTGGCTCGCGCCCAGACTCCTCCCCTCCAAGAACCCGCGGGGCGTCTTCGCTGGGGGTCCGGGGAGGGTGGCCTCAGAAAGGGAGTTTGGAGTCTCCACCTGGCTCAGAAGTTGCAGCTGGAGGTGCCTCGGACCAGAGGATGAGTTTGGAGGGGCGCTGCCCACTCTGGACACGGGAGAGAGGGGCTCTGAGGGCTTTGGGTAGTCGAGTCCGAGGTGGGCAGTATTCAGTCTTTCGCTGCTAGGGAGTGGTGGGGAAGGAGTTAAAATCTCTCAAAAAAAGGGAAGATGAGCTCCATGGGTGTGTGAGCTGAGGCTGCAGTAATGGCTGCGGCCTGCTTTAAAGAACCTGGCAGGACTGGGCGTGTGGGGCTGAGGGAGGCTTGGGGCAGGGGCCGCTGGGGTTGTCGCGGCCCGGCCCCAGTCCCCATCCTAGGGTTTCTGAGAATTGTGAGTTGGCCACATACTGGCCCCAAACGCGCATCCTAAGAGAGGTCAGCGAGGAAGTGTGGCCAGGCAACCTAGGTACCTCCCCGCGCCTGTGCTGCTGCCCGTCCGGAAGAGAGTCCCCTGATGGATCGCAGGATCCCAGAGGCGGGAGGGCAGAGGGAGGACTGGAGCTGCGGGTACCCCGTGGCCACATGTTTGGGCACCTGCCTCCGTTTCCAAACATGCTTTGCAAATGACCTCTGGCCCTTCCTTCACCCCCATGGTTCCTGGCTCCTCATCGGACAGGGCAGGACCTTCAGGCCCATGCTGGGTGTTTGGCATGATGGTTTCCTAGCCAGCATGCGCCCCTGAGCTCCCGTCTGCCCAGGCTCTGGGCCTAGAGTCTGGCCTCTAGTTAGATCGGGCATTGACTCGGGCTCTTGGGCCCCCTGAGAGCATAGTGCATAGTGTGTGAACTTTAATCCTGCAGGCCTGCGTGGCTTGGCTTCTAGGCATTTTGATCTGGGCGATGTCTCCAGGGTAGGGCCAAGAGGTGGAAGTTCCTGCTGCTCTAATGCTCAGCCTCCATGTCCCCTCCAGTCCCCAGGGAAACTCTCCTCATGGAGCGTTTCTGAAAGCCATGCTCCTGGCCAGAGACCCACAGGTCCCCGGGTGGGTTCCATTTCCTGGTCAGGAGGGCCTCCCCTAGACCTGCATCATATCTAAAACAGGAACAGAGCTCAGGAGTCACAAATGACACTGTCAGAGGCAGAGTTTCTGAGAGGTACAGGGAGCGCCCCCCCCCCCCCGTGTATTCCCCTTTCTAATATTCAATCTGCCACTTCGGCTTGCACATCCT